GAGCAGTCGCACTGTAGAGTGGTCAGTTCCTGGCGATGTGCTGGAGACCCCTATTGTATTTCGCTCAGCTTCCTCTAGTGAGATGTGTGTGCTCCAGTGCACGGACACGGTACCCGTGGCCGTGCGGCCGATGAGCCAGTTCAGCCGATGAGCCACCCGGAACATCACAACATTGAGATACCCACAACTTCAACGCGTCACAACTCCACCACCATGGATACAATTCAAGAAGCGATTGAATATTTAGAATTGCATAAAGCTAGAGATAACTTGTTATACCGCTAAGTTGCAAAAATGTTTGGAGTTGACTGAACAACGCTGTCGCAGCGGCACAACTGTTATACACGCTCAAATGCAGAAGAAGCGCGCCAGCGACAGTTACTCAGCCCACAATAGGAGGAGGTACTTGTCAAATACATAGAAAGATGCACAAGAGACGTCTTGCCACCCATTAGAAGCATGCTGCAAAATTTCGTCTCTGCGGTTACGAAGTGGGAGATCTCTAAGAGCTGGATTACTCGGTTTCTGCATCGCCACGCCAACAAGCTTACCACTAAATGGACCACCGGGATGGATCGTGAGCGCTTTTTAGCTGACAGCAAGCGCAAGTACGAGCTGTACTTCAATCTATTGCACTCCAAGATGCGTGAGCACAGCGTTGATGAGCGCAACACGTACAATATAGATGAGAAAGGCTTCTTTGTTAGCATCAACAGTCACACTAAAAGGATAGTCTCTAAGGCAATTTAGGAGTTAAAAGAGCGCACTGCAGCGCTCAGAGATAGTAACAGAAAATAGGTAACACTGCTAGCTTGCGTATGCGCTTCTAGAGAGGCATTACTGCCCGCTCTTATCTACCAGGGCACCTCTAGGATTCAATTAACCTGGGTTGACGACCTTATTACTAAACAACACTAGAATTTTATCTCCTACTCAGCAACGGGATGGTTAAACAATGACTTAGGGCTTGCCTAGCTTCAGCAGGTGTTTGATCGCTATACAGCAGCTAAAGCTCGCCGTCAATGGCGGCTTCTGATCCTTGACGGCCACAGCAGCCACCTCACGCCTGAATTTCTAGAGTATTGCGACGCCAAACGCATCCTCCTTATGGTCTTTCCACCTTATTCAACCCACAGCTTGCAGCCGCTTAATGTTGTCCTCTTTGCGCCGCTTTCAAGGCACTACACTAAGAAGCTCACCCACTACCTCCAACGAACCCAAGGCCTCACGAGGATCACGAAACCCGACTTCTACAGCAACCTTTGGCCAGCATGGAGCGCTACAATGACCTCGGAGCTCATATTGAAGAGTTTTCAAGCTACAGGCGTGTGGCCGATGGATGCGGACGCTGTACTGAAACGCTTCAACAACCGCCCACCACAACAAGACGAAGACGCAGAAATTGGAGAGCATGGCGACGGCGATAGCTGGCCTGAGCTGCGCAAAATTTTTGACGCTGCAGTTGCTGACAAGGCCAGAATTAAAGCCAAGCGGCTGTCGCGGAGCCTCCACTCGCTACAGGTCAACAACGAGCTTCTTCGCACTCGAAACGAGGAGCTACAACACGAACTCAACGTCATCAAGAAGCGCCCAACGCAGCGGACAACACTGACTACACAAGACGGCGACGACTGGCACGGAGGCGCTGTCTTCTACAGTCCCAGGAAGCTTGCCCGCGACCGCGCGCGCAAAGCTGCAGAACTCGATGAAGCCGCGCAGCTACAACTCCAAAAATCTCGCGATAGAAAGGCAAAGGTGGCAGCAACAGCTCACAAAAAGCAGCAGCAAGAGGAGGCAAAGTTCGCTCGACAGCGTGCTGCTGAGGAGCGTCGCGAGGCGAAGAAAGCACAAGCTGAAGTGCTGGCTGCCGAACGAGCGCTCAAAAAGCAGCAACACGACGCTCCAATCGCTCAAAAATCTCACGATACACTCAACAAGCGTAAGCGAAAAGTCTCACACAGTGCTGCAAAAAATCCAACAAAGCGTCGTTGTGTTGTGGCTGCTCGAAGTCGTGTTGACGCTGCACAGCCAGCTGCGTCTCCCCCACCCAAAATCACTGCGAGAGGCCGCAACTCGCGGTTACCAGCCAAATATAAATAGCACAATTGAAGTGCAAGGCTCTGTATAGCAATACACCAACTTTTCTCGCGATAATAGCTTTTGAGTGTGGCTCTACAGCTTCATTTTTCTATCACTGATATCTCGTTGGGGTGGCTCATCGGCTGAACTGGCTCATCGGCCGCACGGCCACGGGTACGGCGTAGCTCACTAATCCTCCAACACCGCCTGCTCGGTTGCTGTTTGCTGGATCCATGATGCCTGTTGACTGTGCTAGATCTTGTCAGACGTGATCGCTGTGTCTCACTCCCGGTCTTGCTACCTTCCTGCGCACTTACCTGGTCTGTCGATCGGATTTAGGAAAAGGGACAGCTCTCATCTACCGTATTGCCGGCAGCGATCTAGGACTTTTCCCAAGCGGGAGTACCCCGTCCTTTCCACCCTCTTTCCACTGTAAATTGGGCGCATTCGTTCGTTGCACTTTCAATTATCAGTCTCGGTTTTGCACATTGCAAGGGCGGCGCAAAGAGGAGGGGCACTGAGCAGGCTGGTGCATTGGGCTGATCCCTGCTCCGGGACATTGCCTCTACATATCACTCACCATCTGACTTGCAGCTGCACAAATCTTTTACTTGTTTCCGAGTAATAGCAAAACGGTCCTTTCCACCGGCCACGAAGGATCAGCTGCGGCGCACGCGAGACCTGGAGTGTTTGCTCGTTCCCATACTTTGTCGCTGTTACTCCACGATCAATAAAGCACCACCACGACCGATTACTCCACCACCAACTTTCGCTCATCAACACCACTCGCCAAACCATTTCACTTATGCGCAGCTTGATACTCGACCGCGTCGGCTGATGTGCAAACTTGCAATACGTATCCACCAGCATGGTACAACCACATGACCAGGAAGTTGTCGATCTGATTTCTGAGGATGAGCACGATGGCTGTTTAGACAACGAAGTCGAGTTCTATGGCGCGCAGTCGATTGGAGAGCCAATCGACCATGGGGCAGACTTTGACGTCCTTGGCGATCTCCACGGATACACACCTTCTGAGATTGATGAGCAGGACGTGATCGATTTAACTGCGATCCCAGATATCAGTGTTCGTCCGACTGATGACAATCCCCGTGTCTTTTAGAATGCGTTGCTCACCGAGGACATGGGCAAGATTGAACTCATCACTGAGGCGGCGTGCTTGCAGCTGGTCTTGGATGTGTTGCCTCATTTCTCAGCGAACCACGTTCTTGCAATGATCCAAGAGCGGACGACGGATCTAACGCGGACTAAAGAGCACAGCGGAGGAATTGTGAATGAACTTTTAGAGGGAGACACTTACCCTAAAGAGGCGGAGACTGCAAGTAAGAAGAGAAGGCAGGCGGACAGCGAGGATTCCAGCGATTATGACCAAGAAGAGCACAGAACCGGAGTGCTCAGCTATGCTACAGACGCGTGAGTGCACACTCGTTTCCTTGGCTACCTTTGGTCTGCGCACACCTTCAGTCGGTGCGTCTAAGCTCAATAGATCCACTTTTGAAAACGTGTCTGCACTTGGAACGTCGCAAGCCGCAAGGAGTCAGCTTCACCAAGACGGTCAATGCATCCGTGACTTGATTGTCACATCTCGACGATCAAAGAACAATGACGAGTATCTTCAAGCTTGCGACAACGAAGAGCTAGCGTTGACCGACCAACTGTAGCAGCGCCGTCAAGTACACGCTCTTCAACATTGGGCATTATTTATATCAGTGCTCGAAGCTCTGGCCACATGAAAGTTTGAACAAGTTAGCTGACTTCTCTCCTTCAGAATCGCGTTACTCAAGGACGAGTTCCTCAACGTGCCGGCCAGGCATATCGAGAACACACTCAGACAGCACAAGGTGCTTTTCAAATCGTACATTGCTCTCGAAGAACAGCTTCGCACATATCAACGAATCACACACGCTTTCGTGAAACCGCCAAGACCTCGCAACAAGCGCGGCATCGAACTCGTTCTGATCGAGCAAGGTAGCCGGCTCCCAAAGGAATTACACGCGGCTAAAAAGAGGATTGAACACGAAGCTGGTACGCAGCTCTTGCATGTCCCTATCCGCCCCCGCTGTCTGTGTGCGTACTGACCACGCCAGCCAGGCGACGTAAGGTCGAACAGATGAAGCGAGCTGAAGAGCTCAACCTCCAACGAGCAAAGACGAACAACGAGATGGGTGATTGCCAGTGCTGCTTTACTGAATACCCACTCAACCGTATGATCAGCTGCAGTAGCAGAGACATACACTTCTTCTGCAGGGGTTGTCTGAAGCAATACGTTGAGACGGAAATCGGACAGTCAAAATGTCGCCCTGTCTGCTTCGCAAGTTTGGAGTGCAAAGGTACCTTCTCTCGTGCCCAGCTACAGCAGATACTTGACCAAAAGACTTTCGATCGATTGGAGCACCTGCAGCAGCAGGAAGACCTCGCAGCAGCTGGGCTCGACTTCCTGTCAGAATGTCCATTCTGCGACTTTAAAGCAGAATGCCCGCCGATTGAAGTCGACAGAGAGTTCCGTTGCCAAAACACGAAGTGCGGCAAGACAAGTTGTCGGCTTTGTGATAAAGAAACGCATATCCCTCTCAGCTGCGAAGAAGCTAAGAAGGGCGACCAAATCACACTACGACATATTGTTGAGGAGGCAATGTCTGCCGCCCTCATCAGGAAGTGTAACAAGTGTCAACAGCCATTCATCAAGGACTATGGTTGCAACAAGATGAGCTGCTCGCATTGTGGTAACAAGCAATGGTATGTACATCTGCGCTGTTTCGTTTCTTTACCGACTGATCGCGCAGTTACATTTGTTCAATGAACGTCATTAATTACGAGCATTTCGGGAATCCCAACAAAGGGCGATGCAATCTTCACGACAATGTTGAGGATGTCCATGAGCAAGCTGTCAAGCGAGCGGCCGACGAAGCTATGGCGAAAGTCAGGGTTGAGAACCCCGAGCTGTCAGAGGCGGACCTTATGGTCCAGGTCTCTGATCGTGTCAAGAAGGCTGAGGCAGCGCGGAAAGGACGAGCTGCCGAACGGTTGAACGAATTTCCTTATGAGATGCTGGGCGACCAGCTGGCCCATCGACCAGGCTATCCAATAATACCACCACCGCGAGGGATTGTCGCAGAAGAACCACGGTACGTAAACCAATTTCCTGATCTTGAACGGCTCGGGTATGTGTTTCTCCGTGCTCTTGAAGAAGCAGAGGCAGACCGCCGACCTGTTCGACGATATTACTCAGGTCGTGCAGAGCCTGTCTTGATTATGCCTCTGTATCCCCGTGGACATCCCTTCCCTCCTCCCTTTCATCTTCTACAAGATCCCGGCTTCGCGTACGATGGTGCTGCTCAGGCCCAACATTACCCTCCGGATGCTCTCTCATTTAATCCCAGATTGATTCGAGCACACCTGCGAAGAGATCACTGCCATTGTCAACATTGCCTGCGTCGTTAGCATCCTAACAATTGTTACTAGTGCGCTCGGTAGACCCGGTGCTGCTGTCGGAGCAGCATACAACGGACTCGCCGCTGCAGTTGGGCTGCCCGCTGATCCTGCTGCCAATGAGCCTCTTAGAGCAGCGCAACTAGCACAGCTTAGGGCTCAGGCTTTGTTTGTCGCTCAACAGAATGATACGATGCGCATGCACCAGCAATTTCAAGATTATCTCAATCCACTAGCACCTATAGACCAAGGCTTTCAGGCGGCGCAAATTCGGTTCCAGCAACAACTTCGACGCGCGAACATGCGAGCTCACAACGCATACAGGGGTCTCAATGCCCAAACTGTTCAGGCAGAGATGGATATATTGGACGCTCATCGGGAGACCAGGCGTCGCCGTTTGCAGGATGTTCAGCAGCGGTTCGGAGAGCTTGAGAGGCTCGGGAGACCTCTCTTGGGTCCACAGCAACTTGGGCAACCCGCCCTATCTGCCAATAATTCGGTACCTGGCGATTGGCCGGCATTTGGACTTGGTGGACAGCTAGCTAACGCCGGGCATGCTGAAGCTGGTGTTGGCTTGCGTGGTATGGCTTTCGACGGGCTGGATGCGAATCGTGCAATTAGGAATTGGGAGATGCATAACCGGTTGGACGAGCAGCCGAGGAATGTGCCGAGGCAGTAATTTTCTTTTGTGAATGTGGCATTATCAGCATGGCATGACTGATTCAGTTATATGGGTGGTCTTTTTGAGTACATATTCACAGCGTATCACTAGATTTATTCGCAATTCGCTCTTCAATTGTACTAGCATTACTTCATTATACTGTCTCCTGAACTTGTCGAGAAGCTAGCTTTTGTGTTCTCCTTTGAAGTGGCTGGGACTTTCGGCTTTCCAAAGCTTACCTTTGCGGACTCTGACGTCTCGTCATCCAGGTCTTCGAATTTCGCACGTCCTTCTTCGACCCACGTCTCAAACCTGAATGTCCCTGTCTCTACAGTTCTTATCGGCGTGAATCGCAATCCTCCCAGATCTTCGCCTCTATTCCTCTTATCCTCCAGCTCCTTGCTCTCCTGTGTCGATCCCTCGCCTTCCTCACCATCCACCCCAGTATGCCTCATAGCCTTCCGCCCCGTCTTCTGCAGACTCGGCTGCACCGGTATCCATGCCTGGGGGTGTTCAATCGGCGGGTCAATGTCTGCTTCGTCCTTCAGCTCCATGGCGATGTTGAACGAGCACTTGTCCGGTAACGGCTTGAGCTGGGCGCACCGTGTGGTCAGGGAAATGAGGGCGCCGCGCATTTGCTCGGCAAGATTCGTGTCGACGCCAATATCGAAGGCGGGCTCGTTCGGTTCGCTGTCTTCGCGGCTGCGGTTGCGGCGGGAGGGCGTGTCGGCGCCTGAACGCCCTGCCTCGCCCTCTTCTTGCCAGCGCTCTTCTTGTTGTTCGTCCTCGCCCGAGACGTCTTCGCCCCCTGGATCGATCGAGGCAGACCGTAAAGATGCCTGTGATGAAGGTCTTGCTCCCCACTCTATAATCGCGTTTCTCTCCTCCTTGTTCACCATCGGGAAGGTAGATACATCGATCATGAACCGCTCCATGATCTGCACATTGCCCGTCCCCTTACTCTCTCCACCTGCACTCTCAGTTTTGCTCCCATTCCCATAGTGGAAGATTACAATGCCGATGCGCGACACTGTGCCATCGAGTAATTCGGTCTTCACGGCGTCAATGGCGTCACGGATCCATTCGCAGACGAGCGGGTGTCGCGACTGGTAGGTGGAGGTGTTGTGGAACCGCGAATGTACAAAAGAGGTTCTTGGATAGAGAGAGCGGAGGTAGAGCAGGGTGTGGATGTAGGCGGTTAGGAAGTTGGTGAAGGCTTCGAGGGTTTCGGTGTAGGTGGCCCCCGCCATGCTTGGAGAACAGCAGATATTGCTGCCACAGTGCGGGTGACAATGATCTCCGGCGGCAAAAAGCTGTAAAGCACAAATATCTCGCCTGAGCTGATGCAACGCCATCAACGTTGCGTTTTTGATGATGCAAGTTCAAGGGTCCAACGCGTGTTCGCGTGAACATGTGACTGCCAATCTGGAAATTAACACGCTCACCTGGCAGGAGTATGGTCGAGAACAACCGGGCTTCCCTGTCAAGGTTGGGCAGGCCAAAAGCCAAAGCAGCGTCGATCATGCATCGTGACGTGAGGCTCGACACAAGTTCTCCACGAAGTATTATCGGAAGCAATTATCGTGATTGGACAGGGTCTTCTCCAACAGTTCTACCGTTGCATGCTATTTTTGCTTGCTCTTCTTCCTCGACTTGGAAACTCCAGTGTCTATTAACTCTACATTAGCATAGCGCAGCATTGTAAGAACTGCCTTGTCTTTCGCCGCCGCCGCCGCCGCCGCCATACTTGACCCCACTTGCGTCAGGTTCGGGCACAACTAACTGCCAGGCTTCACCACCGGCGTGCCCCTCCTCCGGGTCGCGTAACATTTCTCCAGGCTGTTGGTCCCAAACCTTGCACCACAACAGACGCGTCCCCCGCCGTATCCTACCCAGACATTCCAACGCGGGGAACGTTGAACGCTAGACGCGTCCACTAGCCTTTTGCGCGCACGCCCCTCGTCAGCAGCAATGGAGGAACAGCTAGTCGCCCTCCTCGCCGCGACCCAGTCGGCGCAGGAGACTCCGCGAAAACATGCCGAGCAGCAGCTGAAGTCGTTCTATGGCCATCAGGAGCTGCCTCTCGGCCTCGTGGGCATTGCCTGCCATGACAGCGTGCCCCTCAACACCCGCCAGGCGGCCCTGCTGTCGCTCAAGCAGCTGGTGTTGGCTGGCTGGAGTGACAACTTCGATGAATTCAAGGGCCAGCTCCTAGTCAACGATGAGACGAAGGCACAGCTCCGGCCCCAGCTGCTCCAGCTCGCGACAACAGATCACCTCGACCGCAAACTGAAAGCCGCCGCTAGTCTTGTTGTCAGCAAGATCGCTGCTGCCGACTACCCAGCTGAATGGCCCGACCTCCTCGAAAGCCTCCTCCAACTCATCCCACGTGCCACCGACGGGCAATTGCACGGCGCATTGAAGGTGCTGAGCGAGCTCGTTGACGACTGCTTCAACGAGCACACTTTCTTCGGTGTGGCGCCTCAGCTCGTCAAGGTCATTTATGATGTGGCTGCGAACGAGCAGAGGCGGCCGCAGCACCGAGCATTGGCCTGCAGCGTGTTCCGTGGATGTTTCGATATTCTCGAGATGATCCTGGAGGATCACAAGGCTTCGGTGAAGGGCTTCGCAGACGAGATACTGAAGGAGTGGCTGCCGTTCTTCATCGGTGTGCTGAAGACGAAGCTCGCAAACCCGCCTAGTGAGCAGGAAGAGATGGACGAGGCGCCAAACGCCGAGACATACAAGGGCCTCATCTCCTTGAAGCTCCAAGTTGTGAAGGTGAGCAGCAGACTGTGACTTGGTCCAGAGGAAAGCAGACTGATCATCTTGTAGGTTCTCATGCGGATACGATCCGTCTTCCCTTCGATGCTCTCCCCGCACAGCCTTATGCTATTCCAAGCGACCTGGGAAGAGCTGTCAACCCTCCAACCAGCATACCACCTCATGTACATCCAAGAAGAGCGACAGAGCAGGCTGGAAGACGCCGATGGACTGCCCTACACTCTGGACTTCCTCGTCCTCGAAGAGCTCGACTTCATGCAGGCATGTCTCCGAGCGCCTCCAGTGCGTGCCCAGCTTGAGCAGGAGCTGCAGCATCAGTCTGCCGAGAATTCATGGGTTACCGAAGTCATGAAGCTCGCAGTTGGCTATGCGCAGATTACGACGGAGGAGGAAGGTCTTTGGGATATCGACGTCAACATCTTCCTCAGCGAGGAAACAAGCGTCACTGCCAACTACACTCCTCGAACCGCGTGTGGCGACCTGGTGATCAAGCTTGGCGAATGGCTGTCCGAACCAACCATCAACGGCCTCCTCACTTACACACGAGCTTTGTACTCCGGGACTGAGAGCTGGAAGGCCAAGGAAGCTGCGCTTTACGTTCTTAGCCAGATGCTTAGCGACTTCCAGGACACTGATAAGCAGATCAGCCCAGAAGCCGCGAGTGGCTTCGTTGACTTCACCCGCTATGCCATGCAACAGCCAGATGCTTTCCTCAGAGCGCGTGGTTACTTGATCGCAGGAAGTCTGACACGGACATCAGGCGATGCCCTCCAACAATACGCTACATCTTTCCTCGAAGCATCACTGCAAGCCATATCAAACGACGAGTCCGACGTGGTCCGCGTATCTTGCATTCGCGCCTTGCAATTCTACCTCCAGGCTCTGCCTGCCAGTGTCACACAACCCATTCAGCCCAACATCATTCACGCCATCCAGGAATATCTCAACACACAAGATCTGCAAGAGTTGGCCGATAGTGACGACCTGATGGTCACGTTGGTCGAGACGCTCAGAGATGCTATTCTCATTGATACACGCATCTGCATTACTGCCAACGGCCTAGACCTTCTGTTTTCGATTGCCAGCCACGGAGCCAACAACTTCCAGCTCACTATGCTGGTCAATGAGACCTTCGAAGAAGTGACACAATCCATTGCTCGCATGGGTGGCGACGCCTACGTCAATTTGTGCGCGAAGGTCCTTCCCTCACTCACTGCTGCGTTCGATGTCGGCAATCTTACTGAAGAGAATGCTCTCACCAACCTGGCTGCTGAGCTTCTTGGAGTGCTTGCCGAATACGGCCCTGAACCCCTACCTCCGGGCTTTGTCGCAGCTACGATGCCCAAGCTTACTCGACTGCTTCTTGGCGCTGTCGATGAAGAGTTGCTCAAGGTTGCCACCATCGCAGTAAAGAACATCATCTCGCACGACCATCAGCAGCTGTTCGAGTGGCGCGATGAGACCGGCAAGGCAGGACTTGAGGTCGTTCTTCTGATGATCTCACGCCTCCTCTCGTCTGCCTCTGACCACGCTGCTGGCGAAGTTGGTGCTCTTGCTGCCGAGGTTGTCGAGAAGGCTGGCCACGAGAGGCTCGGACCGTATCTCGAGGAACTTCTGCATAGCGTTGCTTTGCGCCTCGCTAACGCGGAACAAGCACAGTTCATCCAGAGCCTCACCCTTGTCTTTGCACGACTCAGCTTGAACCACGCCTCCGAAGTCGTCGAATTTCTGGCGCGGCAGAACATTAATAACCAGAATGGTCTCCAGATTGTGATGGCAAAGTGGCTTGAGAACTCGATTAACTTCGCTGGCTACGATGAGATCCGTCAAAAGTACGTATCCCAACTGTTTATCGAGACCCTGACACAACCCCTCTTATGCACCAGGCCTATGTTGTCAATGGATACTGACGATTGGTAGCGTCATTGCTCTGTCGAAGCTGTACGATTTGAGGGACCCACGATTGGCAGACATCCAGGTCAAAGGCGAGTTGATTCCTAATACCGATGGTCGCATCGTGACAAGGAGTCGCGCAAGAACCAGTACGTCCTTCAAGCCTGACCGTACCTCAATGCAGCTCACTCATTTGACAGACCCTGATCGATGGACGATTGTGCCTGCCACATTGAAGATTCTCAAGGTGTTGATCGTCGAATTACAATCAGCTGCAGGAGCCCCGCTTGATGTCAATGCTGCAGCTGAGCTCGCAGAAGACGGTTCGGACGATGGATCCTGGGAAGATGAGCCCAATCCATTCGTCGACCTTGGCAGCGGCTTCACCAAGGAGCAGCTTATGGCGTACGCTGCCGATGACAGCCCAGGTAGCGGTCGCCAGCGAGACGACGAGACCCAAGCGTTCCTCGTCGAGTTCTTCACTCGTGCTGCGACCACCCCTAGGTTCGCAGAAGAGTTCAATCAGTTAAACGAGGACGAAAAGCAGAGGTTACGTGACAGTGCCACGTGAGCAAGTAAGTCGAAGTGGATGTTCAATGATTAGACGATATATGAGAGCGGTTTGGACACGACAACAGTCTAACAAGCGCACGGGGTGTGGATAGATAAGATAGCAGCATCATAAAAATTATCACTGCAGCGATTGCGGCAATGCAGGTTACGAAGTACATGTTATCTTTTCTTGCGGGCATGCAGGCAAAACAATGTGGTGGAGAAGTGAATAGCATCTTGCTTGGTGCTTTAAATCAGTGACAGAAAGTAGAATGATTTGCAAGTATATCTATGGCCGGTTGTGAGTAAGACTTTTGCGAGAGAAATTTGAGCCGAATCAATCGCATTAGAGCTCGTATATATGTGCATGTTGCACGCGCTGTCCGCGCAACAGAGGTGCGGCTGGAGACTGCAAAGGCAGGGTCAGGGTGAGCATCTATAACTCTCCAAAAGATGCGAAGGGCATTGTTGCGAAATGTTGTCGAGGGAATCATATTTTGCATGACGGCAAGAGTAGTCCTGGTATGGCTCTTGAAGTGTTGATAAACCACGGCTCGGCACCCTGACGCACATTCGAAACCTGCGCACTGTCGAATCGGCGGCTCCCTCAACACCAGCTTTCAAAGGGTACCAACGCTCACATAAAGTAGCCGATTCATGTCCTACGTAATTGCTTCCGGTATGGTAGAAGTCACGATTGCGCGAAGAGCGTTGGTCAAGTGCACTTTCCTTGTCCATTGTTTACCTGTATCAGCGCTAAACTAGCTCCTCAATTAAAACCACTGCCACCTTGCTTGCGTTACTGTGCCCGTCTCACCCTCAGAACATTACCGCTGAGGCTGCACGCTGTTGTGTTGTACTACTACTCCCTCGGTACTCGCCGACGTCGTACTCACAAAGCAGCCGCCGGTAACCCAGCGTCAGACCAATGGATCCTAGCAGGCTGCCGCGACCCTTCGATCCGCCCTCGCCGCGAGAGCGAGAGACAAGTCCTAAGCGAAGAAGGACTGACGACGTCAACGAAGTGACCGAGTTCGTGCGTGGCGCAGGAGTTCGACAACTTCACTCTTGCCGCATCACCAACACGTCCGCCAGCCGAAGCACGACTGAATGCATCAGCGATCATATCGATCGTACAACTGATGAGGAGGTGAATGACTTTTTACGACGCTGCAGTGATCGTCTTTCTTCAACAAGGTTCCTACTACAGGAGAGGCAGGAGGATACACTCAGACGCATGTTGTTAAACGCGGTGACTGCAACTCAGGTCACTCAGGCCCGGACTGGGAGTGATCTGCTCAAGCTCTCCAACAATCTGCACGACTTTGCGCGTCACCTCAACGAACAAGAACGCTATCTCCATCAACAGCAGGCCGAGCTCATCGAGCAGGAGACTGCTATGAGTGGGAAGCTCCTGGACGGCGTGCTGAAGATGATGGAGACCAACTTCAATCTTGCGGAGACCTCACCTGAGCCTTACAAAGCTGAGCAAATGGAGGAGCTCAAGTTCAACAACGAGCAGCTCGGGTTCAATATTAGCGTACACCAAACCACGATTGAGGTCTTGCTATCCGAACTGATGATCGAAAGGGAGGCTCGAAAGACTGCAGAGGCGAAGCTTCAGGAGAAGAAGGTAATTACTGGAGACATGATGGACCCCCCGGTGCAGGGAGACCTTCGTGGAGACGAGGTGGATGATTGTATCTCAAGCAGCTCTTCCACGCCTCCAGTCTCTTCTGTGTGTTCTTCCTCTGACGAAGGAGGACACTAACAGGATCGAGATGCGCTACTATCTGGCCTCGGCGCGCTCTTTATATTTTTCTCCAGACCTTTCTTCGACGGGTTCCTCATCAGAAGAAGACGCTTGCAGGTATCGACTTTCGACTGAGTATGACTCGGGACGGACACTCGTGAACATTCGCAGGACTGGTAAGGAATGGGAGACTATGTTCCGGGCTCGCCGCTGAACATGCACATGGTCACGCGAATGAGAAGCCAGGGGTGGATCATCGTCGTTCGAAACAAGGGTTTCAGTAGTTACGGATCATGCTGTATTTGGAATAAGGGATCATGGAGGTGTTTGGGGGCACGATTACAAGCTAGCATTTGTCGTACAACAGCCCTGCTCTCACTGCTCCTACGCAAGGTATTCGCGCACGCAATATACATTTTACCGATTATCGTCAAAAATGATCATGGATAACTTTACCATTTTTACTGCGTCATTTTGATAGCATGATTGGTTTGCGTTCCTCATTTGCTCGTACCTATACTGTACAAGCTATCGCACCCACCTTCTCTTTCATCGATCTCACACAACCTCTGATCTCATTGATACCCGAATTCAAGCCAACGATCAGCATTTATACATACCGGAAGGTACCCGCCGAACCATCGACAAAGCCATCTGTCAACTGCACAATCACGACCTGCCCAGCCATGACTCTAGATATGCAAGCTCGCACGTCCGAAGACGCGTTTGGCGAAGTCAAGTCTACGATCGCCAAAATTTGCAACAAGAATGAAACGTTGAATAACAACGACGAGCTCGAGAAGAAGCTCCGCAAGTACAAAGGGCGCAGAGCTGGGCTCGAAAGGCCCGTCGAGTCGGATAAGTCGCGACCGCTTGATACTTGACAAGCTTGCAACGGATGACCACGAAATGGATGCCATTCACCCTGCGTTTTCGGGTCCTCAATACCTGCTCTATTCTATTTAGCATAAAAACGAGGGAGAGACCCAGCGTTGGTTAGAGTGCTTTGGAAAGAGATCCAGTTTGCGAAAGAGATGAGAGAGGCTTATTTCAGGGTGAACGAGAAACAGGGTAGGGCAGCAGACGACACTGAGCCAACAGGTAGGAAGCGCTGCAGGGAATAGTATGACTGGAGACTAGACTGGAAGGGGCTGGGAAAGGAGGGAATGAGCGCTACTGGAGTGTCGTGATCACGGGTCTGGTCGAAGCGAGACCGTGTCCGAGTCCTCTCTATCAGGATTAGAGACATGTGTGGTTTACTAGAAATGGCTTCTACTTCGCTACATTGCTAATGTGCTTTTCGATTTGTCAGTAACGTATTCCACAGGCGAGCGCCGCACACCACCAAACTTGCGCACCTCTCTCATCTCAACGTACAATGGCTCAACGCAGCGCTACTATATTAGCTTCAAATGAAGCAGACGTTCAGCTCGCTATCTCCTCTATCAGTTCCCATCAAATAAAGAGCAATCGCAGGGCTGCTACTATCTTTAGCGTGTCTGAACGAACAATCTGCCGCCAACGCGCTGGTATACCTGCCTAACGCGATTGCCAGCCCAACTTAACGAAGCTCACTAAGCCAGAGGAGCAGGTGATTATCTGCCATATATTGGATCTAGACTAACGTGGATTTGCGCCTACGTACGCAGCTGTACGTGATATGGCTGATAAGCTGCTCGCTGCGCGCGGCGGAGGACGCGTAGTGTAACAGAGTAGGCGCCCTGCCCTCGAAATCAATACTACGTGACTTCTCTGCCTATACCAAAAGGTAAGCACAAGAATACTTAAGCAAGTATTCGTTGCGTAGTATAATATATATAGACAATAATAGTGCTAGCCAGCTAGCTTTGCCTCTAGCTGCTATGAGCGCTATGCCACGTGTCGTGTTCGTGCATAGTCGTTACACGTAGGAGTTAACTAGCTATCTACCTTTGTCAAGCGTACAGACAGTCTTACAACGCGTTTTAATTGAGCGTACAATAGATAGAGAGCTCTATGTAAGGATCTAGCCCTAATTAGTTAGTAGTTTAAGCTTGTAGAGCAGACAAAGGCTAGGTACAGCATCTGTAATAATAACGTCTATAACTTTAATAAGGCAGGCTTTATAATAGACAAGATCACAACTTAGCTTATTGTAACAGGGTTAGAGAGGAGAGGTTAGCTAAAGGCTATTTAGCTAGGCAATCGTGAGTGGGTGACGCTGATTGCTGCAATTAACGCTGCTAGCTGGTCAGTACTACTGTTCCTTATCTTCGCTAGCTAGTATTATCTATCTGCCTAGCACAAGGAAGCAGAGATCCTACACAACTAGGTGATTGTAGTTAGCAATAATAGCTAGAAAAATAACAAACTAGGAGTAGAGTAGCTAAAGCACTTTAACACTTATACAAAGACTTGTGTTGTTAGTGTGCGTTACCTGCTTGTCCTTAATAGCTATAAGAGCCACTACTCTCTTAAGTTTTAAGAGCTCTGTAAGGAGAACAATATCTACACACTCTACATACTACCTTACTTATCTTATCTACTTAAGCCTCCTAATATTGGCTACTTCTTGCTATTAAAGCGTGCGTACAGCTGTAAGGTTAAGAGCCTAATCTGCTACTATATTAACTATATTACTAAGCTTAAGTTTCTACTAGCGTTTAAGGCAGCCTTTACGTGATTTTTTATGCTAGACAATATCTGCTTAGTATTTAGAGGCGCAGGCCTTGTTCCTCTCTAGGCAGACGTTGTTCTATCAAAGCTTGATGTGCAGCTGCGTACGCCTACTCTAGTTGCTCTGCCAGAGGCTCTCTAGGAGGCTTGTACACTAAGCAACATACACAAGCTTGAGGCTTAATTAATATTAATACGTGATTGCGTGCACTAGCACAAGAGCTTATCACCTGCCTTAATTATTAAAGCAATTAACTAGCTTAAGAAGGGCGCTGAGGTGATAATGCTCTTAGCTGAGCTGATGCGTGATCAGATCACCAGCCTTGAGAGAGCCAATGAGGCAGCGTCAGCACGCAAACAGCGTAAGAAAAAGCATATACAGCAGAGTGGGGTCTTAACAAAGGGAGCTGGAGAGGATATACTCGCTCAACGTGAGGCTGACCAGCAGATTGCTCGTGAGCAGCGTCAAGGAGGAGATCAATCAGGCCTTAGCCGCCAGGCTCTAGCGCGCTGCAGGAGGTGCAGAGAGACTGGCCATAACTCACGTACGAGCAAAGTAGATACTTAAGATAACGTAGATTATCACTAAGCTAGCTATATCACCAAACCAGCCACTTTCTCTTAGCACAACCACTTTTTACCCTAACACAATATACCTTAATAACAACAACTTTAGAATACTACTAAAGAAGGTAGAGTTCTCCTTACTATCTAGGCCTTCTATGCTAGCTAATTTTGCAGTATCTGCAGCGCTGCTAGAGCGTTAAATATACCTTATTATAAAGTTATAAGACTTTGTTCTTATAATCTTTCTCTAGCATATTTCCTTCTTAGGTATAGCGCCATGCTTACCTAAGCATTGTTATTATAATCTCCTAAAAGAGAGGATTAGAATGGTGTGCTTACAAAGCCTATATCTCCTCTCATTCTTAATATATACTGTTCTCTATTTTTAGTAACTAGAAATGTTCTAGACCTTCTGCTAACAAATAGAGTAGCCTACTCTATAAGATGCTAACGTATACAATTACGCATGCACCTACATAATCTTGCTTGTATACATCGGGAAAAGTTTTTCTGTTGTCAAAATTAGGAAATCGTGGCATTGTACTGTAGGCAACAGTAGGACTTGTAGGCCTACAATAGTTATTTAATGTGCATTCAATGTCTAGCTAATTTCAAGCTAATAGCTCTAACAGTCCTAACAGCTGTAATAGCTACAACAACTCCTAATCCTGCTATAATAGTAGCTCTGCTTAATAAACTATACTTTTATTATATTAATATACTACTATGTCTCCTCTTTAAAATAAGCTATTAAACAACATTATAGGCCTAGTAATAGAATAACCTGTTTTATCAGTGAGCGCCCCACCTCAGTGAGCGCCCCACGAACACCAGCGAGGCGTACGCGCAGCGACGTAGCTTAGCACCACAACACAAATTTTGTACTCTTGCAATAGTATAGTATTATTTAGAAGCGTTGCTGTTATTTATATCCTTAATTTCTACCTTGCAGGTGTGAGACTTATGCCTAATCTCACCGCAACAGCTGCAGCGTTGCCCTGCGCACACCCTCTTTGCTAGCTCCTTACCCTCCTCATATCTGCTACCCTCCCTTTTAGTAATTAAGTCTAATACCTTACTAACTATTAATGTCTCCTCTACCTGTACATAGCGTCTCTTATAACTTTTACACTTTATTGCTACTTTAGTAGCAGTATTAAGGCGCACTATCTCTGTGCGCATTAACACTATCTTATAAGCTATCTACTGTGCGCCTTTTGTTAGCTGCCACACCTACTCATTAAGTAAACTTGCTAGAGACCCTTAATAGATTTTTATCCTATTTTAAACTAGTGTTAATTGCGCCTCTATTTCTTTAGCGTTGTGTGGTGTTTTTGCCTCCTAAGTGGTGTTAACTTGCTGTGGTGGAGTTTGCGTACGCAGCTGCATATCTAGCTTTAATAACACAGCCTGTAGATCATGTAGAGATAATCTAGCGCCTTAAAACCCTGCGCAAGCATTCTCTCTTGTAAATGCCTTCTTAAAAGCTACTTTAAAGGCTAGTAAGAAGGTCTATTTGCTAATATAGTTAATGCAATTGCGTGCTAAGGCTAAGATCTAATCACTGTACGTGCGCTTTAATAGCAAGAAACAGGTGACGTCAAGCAGCTGCAGGAGGTGTGATAAGTGTGGAGGCATACAGAGGGCAATAATCTTCTTCTCCTTGCAGCAATCCTAGAAATCTATTAAGCAATAGCTCTTGTGGCTGTTAATAATTAGCAGCCTATATACTCCTACAGGCCTCGCATGCGTATTAAAGTAATTAAGCTAGGCAAGCGCTAGATTGTTGTTTGTCTAGCCTGTTAGGCTTACTTAAATAACCTAATTGTGTAGGAGGTCCTTAGTAAACTAGTTAGAGATAAGAACCTTGCTAGCAAAGATAAGGAAGGGTAGGATAACACACCCTATTATGCTGACGCCCTGTATTAATATAGTCTACTTATAATTACTAGGCTAAAGCTTCTTTACTTTCCTAGGTTTCTCTATACCTGTTATAACAAGTTATAAAGATATCTTACCTATTAGGAAGCTAGACTTGTTAAAGTTATACATGTTGTTGTCTACAATACTGTACTTCGCCTTTATATTCTAAACTAGCGTGAACTAGGGCTTAATAATTGCTAGGTCTTCGTAGAGAGCTTGCTAGTAATTGTATAGATAAGTCTAGCGCGTGCGCAGCTTAGGTGTACGCTTAATAAACCTGTCAACCTAGCATTTACTAACAGGCTCACTGCCGCGGTCGCGCAGCAGTCTATCAGCTATATCTTGTACGTGTAGCTTTAAGGGCGGTACTCCACGTAGGTTCTTGTCAAGTATACGCTGCAGAATTACCTCCTCTTCTAGCTTTGTTAGGCGCTTTAATCTAGGCTTGCAGTTGCGTCTAGAGGGCTTCCTATCATGTTGTTGTTGTATTGTCCTACAAGGAACGCTGTAGACTGCCTCAGCACGTTGCAGGCTTGTAATCTAGTCACATTTAATGTTAGAGAGGGCAAGCTGCACGTCAGCTTCAGTATAGGGCTTGTGAGGTTGTGGTTGTTGAGACATTACGCGTTGAGTGTCGCGCATGCGCTTTGCTGGTGTTCGTGGGGCGCTCACTGAGGTGGGGCGCTCACTGATAAAACAGGTTAGTTATTAAGTGTAGAAGGTTTTAAGCTTGATGTTCCTTGCCAAGACACTAAGTTAAGATTCTTTGCTAGGGCTCTAGCAGCCTGAATGTTAGAAAATATAAGAATATTATTCAAGAATAGTAGGTAAACCAAGAATTTTACGCCTCGGCCTGCATGTCCTGCAAGCTCCTGTTGCGCTGCTGCTGTGTGTGTGTGTGTGTGTTGTGGTCAGCAGGTGCCATGCTGTATGCTGTTGCAGCTGCTACGTTGTGTGCGGGCGCAGCTGCAGCTGCTATAGTGTGCTGTTGCAACTTCAAAACACAAACCTTTAACAAACAAACCTTCAACGCTCTATAACTTGCATTGTAGTAGGCCTACAACAATAATTTTTCGCTTATTTTAAAGCTACAATTTCGCTCTATCTGTAACGTACTCTATCACCAAGCCGGTCATATCACCAAACCAGTCACTTAAAATCCCACCAAAAAACACAGAAACTATACCCCTGCATCTTAATAACTACTTAATAGAATCTTCTAAAAACTTCAGAATAGAGCTACATCTATACTAATAAGACTGTTTAAAAGTCTTAGAGTGCTTAGCCCTATATTGCAGATGTTGTTTAGAAGATACTAAAATACAGGGGTAGCTACAGGCTATCTTAACATCTATACTAGCTATTAGTCTAAGACTTTTAAATAGTTTTATTAGTATAGATGCAGCTCTATTCTAAAGTTTTTAGAAGATTCTATTAAGTAGTTATTAAGATGCAGGGGTATAGTTTCTGTGTTTTTTGGTAGGATTTTAATTGACTGGTTTAGTGATATAACTAGCTCGGTGATAGAGTACGTTATATAAAATTTCGCAATTTTTAAATATTTAATGCTAGTGCTAGCACCACTAAGGGTAGCTATGCAACGACGTTGCAACGTTGTTTTAAGTTTATTAAATATAGGTACTTAGTATTTTAGCTATTAGCAATGTTGGCGCAAAATTAGGGCTGTTAGGCGCAAATTAGGGCTGTTGGGGCTGTTGAACAGCTGTTGCACGACCATGCCACAACTGTCAGCAATAGCCAGTCTAGGCCAGATTTCGAAAAACTTTTCCCAATGTATGCAGTAATACTAAGCATAGATTACTAAGTAGACCTACCTAGAGGAGTCTAGAATGTTCTGCTTAAAAATACAGACAGAGGAGAAGGAGCATAAATACCTCTAGCTCTCCCCCCTCTATTCGCTCTGTACCTAGCCTAGGAATCTCTACCTAGTATCTAATATAATAACTTGTCTATTATATTACGTAACCCTACCTTACCTCTATTAGGCTATACGCTTCCTATTTAGACAAAGCTAGTCTAAATTTGTCTAGGTCCTTCTAGACTAGGAAGAAAGTAGTCTAGTCCTTCCTCTACTTTCTTTACATTAGCTACTAGGCTAAACTAGCCCTATAGAACCTTAGGATCCTTACAGAGGGCTCTCTTGTAGTTGTACTTGCAATTAAACTTAACTATAAGCTCTAGGTGCTGCTTAACAAACATACTAGGCCAGTTTGCGCTAATAGGGCCTAGGTTGCGCTCAGCGCGCAAAGAATTGGCCATAGTAGCCACATCTAAGAGCTAAGTGGAAAATCCTTGCGTATCTAGCTTAAGAACATGTTTAATAATTACCTTCTCCTTATTATTTTCTAGCTTCTGCAAGTTGGCTAACGTACTCCACAAGCGAGCTGGCCACCCAAGCGAGCTGGCCACTTTTGCCAAGACCACACCAATACTGCACCTACTTTGCAACATTATAGCACACAACTATAATATATTATACTATATAGTATACTAAACTAGTCTGTAGTACTCTGTGTATCTTTACTACATATTCACGCGTTATGCCCTGTCTTGCTACATATGCTACAGCGCCTTAGAGACTAAGTGCTCCTATTAACACGCAACCTCTTCTTTGCCTTCTTCCTATCACTACAGGCCTTAAACTCCTTTAGAGTAGTTAGCTGCACTCCCTTGGCAAAGACTAGAGTCTCCTCTTGCTGTAATTACTTCCTTTTGTATAATTTACAACGTGTGGTAGCCTTATTAGCTGCCTATAGGTTAGCAACCTAGTTGCGCACTAAAACTAGTAAATGCGCTATTAGCTCTGCAACTTTAGTAAGCTAATTAAGAGCATTAGCTATAGACGTTAGCAAGCTATTAGCATGTCTCTAAATCCTCTCTTAAATTAGCTTTAATTAAGACCTAAATTCTAGGGTATTACTTAGTGTTTTAGACTCCTATATACTGTTGTCTATAGTAGGTGGTGTTAGCGTGCGTAGCTGTACTTTAAGCTTTGATAGCACAGCCTCTAGGTCATGTAACAACGCTCTACGAACAGTGACCCGATACCACTAGGATACGGTTCTAGCGACTCATGACCATGGCCCTTGTCACATAGCATAAGCTTACACTAAATTACTACTAAACCATTATATATAAGGGACAAGGAACTATAGCATTGTAGAGTAGTTTTTCTATATCCTTTTGTACAAGACCTATAGGTGTAGAGAATATATCCTGGTGTTCTTATCATCCTAGCACTCCTATATGCCTTGTAGCAGATTCACACCTATTCTGGATATCTCTCTTCTTGCCTGCGTCGTTACAGGTCAAGTAGGACTAGGCCAGCACCTCTAAATCCTCCCTAGATATTGCTCTCTGTGATTGAGGCGTTAAAAGCCGCTTTGAAGCACAGCAAGAGCTCAGGTTTAGTGATGCGAGTAATCTTGCTGCGCATTAGCCACTTAGCTTGGCAGCTATAGGCCTTCTTTAACAGGGCAAAACAGCCTACGTTAAGTGGCTATAGTAGGTGCAACAAGTGTGGAGGCATACACAGGGTAATAATCTTGTGTTCCTTGCAGTAACGTAGATTATCACCGAGCCGGCCATATCACTGAACCGGCCACTTTCTCTTAGCACAACCACCTTTTACCCTAACACAACATGCCTTAACAATAACAACTTTAGAATACTACTAGAGAAGGCAGAGTTATCCTTGCTATCTAGGCCCTCTATGCTAGCTAATTTTGCAGTATCTATAGCACTGCTAGAGCATTAAACGTACCTTATTAGTAGGTCTCTAATTACCTTTGCAATATCACGTTTTAACTAGACATACGCACTAATTGCTAGAAACTTACTATACTAGAGGAGTAGATAATTGTCTAGTATATACTTAACCTTAATTTGCAAGGATTTGCGCCCTAGCTATGTAAGGTGGCAGATATAGCTAATAAGATACTTAGTGTGCGTAGTGAAGAGCCTGTTAGTAAACTATAGGCTAGCAGGCTTATAACATTTTTAGACAAGCTTAAAATAGCCTTTAATTAAGCTAAGGATAGATAGAGGATATGTTGCGGTATGAAGAGCAAAATGCATATATTGAGTGTGTTGTGTTCTGTGTTGTTTTTTTTATGTTCTCCAAGGCTCGCTGTGGGGTTGGTTTTGATGACGTCTTTGTAACGCAGCCAAGGTAAGAGGTGCTCAACAACATGAGGAAGTAACACCAGACCACCGCCAACAACACGTGATCTGCTTCTCCTCTCAACTGTTACAGGATACTATAGGAAGATCTTAAGATAATTAGTGCGTAGTTTAAGCTAGTAGAGGATACTTAAGTTAAATATAGTATTTATAATAATAATATATATAACTTTAATAAAACTAGGTTCTAGATAGGTGTTGCTTTGTCTTTAAAGGTTGTAACAGGCTTAGAGAGATGTGCTTAGCTAGAGCTTGTTTAGCTAGGCAATTGCGAGTAGGTTACTGTTATCTAGAGCATCTGCGCCGCTAGGTATACAACCCTACCTTTTATTATCTACAAAGGATGTGTCTACATCTCTACCTAGTATAAGGAGATAGATATACCCTATAATTAGAAGCTCTTAGTCTCTAAGAATAGTTAGATAAATAATATGCTTAGACTTAAGTAGTTAAAGCACTTTAACACGCATATAAAGATATATTAGGTAGAAGTGTACAGTTACTTATCTTAGACAGCTATAAAAGCTATCTTAACTAGGAGTTTAAGGACTATTACCTAGAGAACTAAATTCTTACTCTCTATATACTACCTTACTTATTGCATATCCTCTAGCTACTTAATGTAGTCTATTTCTTGCTATTAAAGCGCAAGTACTCCTAACGTATTTAAGACTTAGTATACTAATATATCTTCTATATTAATAAGGAAGGCTTCCTACTAGCCTTTAGGGATATATTCCTTAATATATTTATAAAGGTTAACTACTAAAAGGCCTTTAAGGTATTAGGGCTTATTCCTACTAACAGGCAGGAAGTGTTAGATTGCCTTAAAGTGTAGCTATATACCCTACTAGCAGTACCTCTACCTAAAATACTATAGTAATCTAAGATACTAAGTAATACATATAAGTTTAAGTCTTAATCTAAGCTTATAAGCAACTCCTTCTAATAATTACTAAGTATAGCGCAAGAGGGGTTCTTAAAGCTTATAAAAGGGGCTAAAGAGATACTACATAAAAACGTCCTTATTAAGGCCCACGTGCAAGAGCTTAAAGAGCAATTAGTAGTAATAACTAAGAGAAAATCGCGTAAGAGAAAGCAGATTCAGCATACATCGGGAAAAGTTTTTCAAAATCTGGCCTAGACTGGCTGTTGCTAACAGTTGTGGCATGGTCGTGCAACAGCTGTTTAACAGCCCTAACAGCCCTAATTTGCGCCTAATAGCCCTAATTTTGCGCTAATATTACTAACAGCCAAAATAATAAGTGCCTATATTTAATAAACTTAAAACAACATTGCAATGTTGTTGCATAGCTACCCTTAGTAGTGCTAGCACTAGCATTAAATATTTAAAAATTGCAAAATTTTATATATAGATAGAGCGAAATTGTAGCTTTAAAATAAGCAAAAAAATTATTATTGTAGGCCTACTACAACGCAAGTTATAGAGCGTTGAAGGTTTGTTTGTTAAAGGTTTATGTTTTGAAGTTGCGACAGCACACTATAGCAGCTGCAGCTGCGCCCGCACACAACGTAGCAGCTGCAACAGCATACAGCATGGCACCTGCTGACCACAAAACACACACACACAGCAGCAGCGCAACAGGAGCTTGCAGGACATGCAGGCCTAGGCGTAAAATTCTTGGTTTACCTACTATTCTTAAATAATATTCTTATATTTTCTAACATTCAGGCTGCTAGAGCCCTAGTAAAGAATCTTAACTTAGTATCTTAGCAAGGAACATTAAGCTTAAAACCTTCTACACTTAATAACTATTCTATTACTAGGCCTATAATATTGTTTAATAGCTTATTTTAAAGAGGAGATATAGTAGTATATTAATATAATAAAAGTATAGTTTATTAAGCAGAGCTACTATTATAGCAGGATTAGGAGTTATTGTAGCTATTGCAGCTGTTAGGACTATTAGAGCTGTTAGCTTAAAATTAGCTAGACATTAAATACACATTAAATAACTGTTGTAGGCCTACAAGTCCTACTGTTGCCTACAGTACAATGCCACGATTTCCTAATTTCGACAACGGAAAAACTTTTCCTGATGTAGTGGCACACTTAAGTATGGCCCAGCAGCATTGCAGGTAGCTGCTAAGGCGTGTGTAGCAGCTTAGCCATCTAAGAAGACTTAGGGTGGAGGTGGTCAACTAGGAGCTTAGTCAACTGTTTAGCGCTGTAGGAACTGCAGCAAGACTAGACACAACGCATAAACGTGCTAGGTGTAACGACTATGCACGAACACGACACGTGGCATAGCGCTCATAGCAGCTAGAGGCAAAGCTAGCTGGCTAGCACTATTATTTTCTATATATATTATACTACGCAACAAATACTTGCTTAAGTATTCTTGTGCTTACCTTTTGGTATAGGCAGAGAAGTCACGTAGTATTGATTTCGAGGGCAGGGCGCCTACTCTGTTACACTAGGAGGGTATAGAAATATCTTCTAGATCTAATATAAGCACATAGTATACTAGGTTACTATTTAATAGTAAGTAGTTGTAGTTGTAGTAACTTGTGTTAGTTGTGCTAAGAGAAAATGGCCAGTTTAGTGATATAGCTGGCTTGGTGATAATCTACGTTAGCATTAAATATTTAAAAATTACAAAATTTCATGTACAGATAGAGCAATATTGTAGCTTTAAAATAAGCAAAAAATTTTTGTTGTAGGCCTACTGCAACGCGAGTTATAGAGCGTTAAAGGTTTGTTTGTTGAAGGTTTGTGTTTTAAAGTTGTGACAGCACACCATACCGTGCACGGACACCGGGTGGGCCGGGTCACCAGGTGGGCCACCCCACCAACTTTGTCACCACATTTGACCCCCCCTCCACAACGTCACCACGATGTTGTTGCAGGCTGCTCTTTCATACATAGACTCTTTGAAACTAGGAGAATCTTTTTTATATAGACAGTTAGCTAAGAAATACTATATTTCCCGCACTACTTTAACTAACCACCACTAACGTTAGAGAAGGACTAATAAAGATGCCTACAAAGATTAACGTCTCCTCCACCTACACAATAAGGCTAAGCTTGTAAAATACATTAAAAGCTTTACAGAGACTTACTGCCCACCTACGTAGTAGATGATAATTAATTTCGCAACCCCCTTGTGCAGTTAGGAGCCCTTAGATTAGTAGGTTTCTAGGCTTATTTACTGTTACCCTAATAACCTTACTACTGCCTAGACCACCCCTATAGAAAGCACGCGTTATGCAGCTAATAACTGTGAAAGATATTATCTATACTTTAATCTTTTAACTAAAAAAGTTAAGGAATTTAATATTCTCCCTAAGAACACCTACAATATAGACAAGAAGGGATTTATAATTAGGGTTATTAGAAAGACTAAAAGAGTCTTTGATAAGGCTCTCCACAAGGAGCGTTGATATAAGCAAGCATCTCACAATGGCAACAGGGAGTGGGTGACGGTTATAGGCGCGATTTGTGCCGACGGATCTCACCTCCCCCCTGCCGTAATCTATCCCGCGGCTAGTGAGAAAGTACAGGCTAACTGGGTGCACGATATCAATCCAGATACTCACGATCTACGATTCTCAGTATCCCCAAGTGGCTGGACGAACGACGATCTTGGTGTTGCCTGGCTGCAGCAGGTGTTTAATCCTATTACCTCAAAAAAAGCTTAGAGAAAGTTTAGATTACTCATTCTTGACAGCCACAGCAGCCACGTGACGAAGGCCTTCATCGATTACTGTGATCTCCATCAAATTCTGGTGCTGGTTTACCCCCCGCACGCCACCCATACGCTGCAACCCCTAGATGTCTCATGCTTTAAGCCCCTGAGCCAATCTTACTTAAATAAGCTTATATATCATAACCACAACACCAAGGGATGGCTCCCTACGGGTAAGGCAGACTTCATAAGCCTCTTCTAGCCTGCCTAGGTCAACACCTTTACTGAATTGTTAATACTCTAAGCCTTTAAAGTCATAGGTATATACCTACTTCACCTAGACGTTATACTTGATTGCTTTAAGAAGGTGACTCTACCACCACCCACAACGCCTCCCCAGCAATTAGAGCCTTAGGCGGCATCTACCTCACCTAATTAGCGATGTTTTAGGTCATCTTTTGACCGTGCAGTGACGTATGGGGACCCAGGGGCGCAGAGTGAGGCAAGGCAGCAGATGCACCAGATGCACGTGGCTCTTGAGCTCAAAGATCAGGAACTTTAGGGCCTCAAAACAGCACTAGAGAGTAAGAAGAAGCGTTAAAAGAAGAATAAAGTATTGCCACTGTCACCGCAGGACCCTAATGTACAAGGGGGGGCCATATTCTGGGATCCTTCATCCGTTGCACGTGCCAAGACCCGTATGAAGGATATAGAGAAGCAGGCA